CATGTACAGAAGTTGAAATTGTAATTGATGTTATATGAATGCAATTACAAAAACAATTATATCCTATAGATGTAATTGTTGATGGAATTGTTAGACTTTGAAGTGAAGAACAATCGAAAAAAGTCGATTTATTTAATGAACGAATTAATGGAGGAAATTCAATTTCTTTTAGTGAAGTACAATCATCAAAACAATGTGCTCCAATAAAAGTTAATTTTGTTGGGAGTTTAATTGAACTTAAATTGAAACAATTTGAAAAAACAGCATTCCCAATATAACTTAAAGACATTGGTAAGTCAATGGATTTTAATTGTGAACACCCACAAAAAGCTTTTTCTTGTATTGACTCAAGTGTTTTTGGTAAAATAATACATGACAAATGATTACATCCATTAAAACATCCTTCAGCTAAATTAGTTATTGTAATAGGTAATATTACTTTTGTAAGATTAATGCACTGAGAAAAACAACTTGTATGTAATTCTTTAAGAAATGGTGGAAAGTCAATTGATTTAATCAAACAACCACTAAATGCATTTTTTTGAATAACTTTAACAGAAGAAGGAATGTTTATAGTGGAATATTTTGTATTTAAGAAAGCATCTATCCCAATAATTGTTACCCATTTAGGAATTTCATTTTTCCATTTTCTTTGATCTTCTTTTGTATAAACAACAAAAGAACAATTTGTTGTTGGGTTAGAAAGAAGTTTTTGTGCCTCTTTACAAGTTACTTGATATAAAATTTTATGATTTGGAATATTTGGATTAAAAATTTGTTTCTTTCTATAGATGTATTGGGTTTGAATATTTGGAAATAATTTTAAATTTTCTATAGGATTATAATGAAATTTTTCTGTTGTTTCTTTGAATTTTTTACAAATGAAATTTAATTTAGCAAGGTCTTCTTCTTGTAAAATGAATTGTGCCACAATAAGCAAAGAATAACTATCCAGTTGTCTTCTCATAGTCTTGGTTAAAATATATTTTAAGATCTATCTTTTGTTTAAGCAAAATCTTCTTTGTATTTATTTGGGGTTATTCTTCTTTTCTTTCTCTTATTGTCAAGATTCAAACTATTCTATTTTAGAAAGATTGAAAAAAAAATATAAAAATTCTAAAATATAATTAGTAAGTTTGTTTAAAAAATATATTTTAAATAGTTTTTATTGATTTTTTACAAACTTATCATCTTTTTATTTGTTATAAAAATTATTTATGTCTTAAAAGAAATAATATAATATAAAGAATAAATAAGAAAAGTTAATTATCGAAAGAGACATAAAAATTTACCCAGTTATAGATGGAGTTGGATGTATTAGAATAGAATTGACAGTTGTTATAATTCATCTACATGTTCCAAAGTAAATTCAATACTATCATTTGAAATTCATTAAATAATTTTGTTTAGTAAAGAATAAATTAGATGTAGTTGATTGAATGACTAATAAAAATATTATTATACAAAAATTCTTGTTCAATTTCAAAAAAAAACGCTCTTTTTGAATGATGAATACTTGAAGAATAAACAGTATTGATTATTTGGTAATGAAATTTTTTTAGAAGGTATTGATACTAGAACGAGTACAAAAAGACAATAAGGTTGTTGTTATGATACAAATGCACAATATAAATAAACACAAGTCATTAAAATTACTTTTTATTCTTAAAGTAAATTTATGGAAAAGAAACAATGACTAAAAATATGGATGTTGAGACAATACATTTATTATTTGATATATAAAGAATTTTAGTCAATTTATAAGGAAAAATAAAAAAGAATATTTATCTTTTCATTGAAACAAATGTTTTAATGTTGTTAGACGATTAAATTGAATAAAAAAAAACAAAATATTTGTTTTTATTTAAGAAAGTGTCTGAAGTCAAAAACTCAACAACGAATCAAAAGCATAGTTTGAATGAATAATAAGTCTTTGTTTATAAATATTTAATGGGTTTATTTAAGTTAATATCATTTTTTTGTTGTAAAAAGATGATTCATAGTTAAGAGAATTTAAGTAATTCATATTAAGAATTATTTAATTAGTTATTATGTTAAAACGGACTGTCTGAAGGTAATAAAGAATTGTTTAACATACATTTTTCACAACACTCAGTTGATACATCAAGTTCATTTTCAAGTCCAGTCAGTGTTGATAACCAAAGAGATTTACAATATGAGAGGGTTAAAGTAGATAATGTATTTGGAAGGACAAATGAAGAGTTTTCATATCCAGTAAGTTCTAATGAATTGAGTGTTAATTCTGTTAAGTCCATATGAGTTGGTTCTATGTCATTAGTATCAGAAATATCTGAAGCATCAAAAGCAAGACTTAAAGAATCAATATGTTTTGAGTCAATATGAATTGCTTGATTTGACGTTGTAATAGATGCCATTTTTACGTTATCATATTGATAATGCTCAATAACCAAAGCAAAACAAATAAATTCATTAATATTTTTTATAAATAATTCATTATCAGACATTATTAGTTGTGAGTGTTTTGATTGGACACAGCATTTATTTGATTCTGTTACTTCAAGTGAATTAATTTGAAGTAATTCATTAATACAAATGATATTACAACAAGTTAAAAATGAAATTGAATTGACTGTTTGTGGAATTGGGATTTCAATTTGGTCGTTACTTTGTATTGAACTGAATGTTATTTCCTTAAACCCTGTTTCTGGATAAATAAATTGTGGAATTATTATTTGCCCATCTTCATGCCACATTTCAATAGTTAATTTAACTAATGTCTTAGGAAGGTTAATACTATATGGGCAATTCCCAAATAAACGAAGAGTTAATTCGATAGTTGGGATAAATGAAAAATCCCACTCTTTCTTCATTTGAACAATATCACTTTCAAAAACAACACAATAAGGCTTATTATTCCCTTTGTTTTTACAATACTCATCAAATGAACCTTCAAAACTTTCATTGTCCATTTTTCAACTCTTTAAATATATGTTTATCAAGTTCTTTCAGTTCTTTTTAGTTATTTCCAAAACATTCAATAAAACAATAATTAAGTGTTTCTTCTTTATATTGGAAATATTCCAAAAAAAAATTATTAAATAGTTGAAAGTTGAACAATGGTATTCTGTTAAAATTTATTCTAATACATACAGTTGAGAGAATGATGTATATTTACAAATAAGTTACTTCAAACGTTTTTTTTTTCTATATCTTTGTTTCTTATTATCCAGTGATATTAATAGCATAACCTTTTCTAATAATAAGAATGTACTTTGTTGTTGATTTTCTATTCAAGAATAATTCCTTGTTATTTGTTAAAGTTCACTTAAATTATTAACTATTTTATGTCTTTTATTTTGATTACCTCTCTTTTTTCCTCATTATTATATACTGTTAATTAATTATTTATATCTAAAATGTTTATTAGTATAAATCTTCTAAGTTATATTTAGATTATTGTGTATGGAAATAAGAAATAGAATAAATGACTCTCTATGAACATCTCAAAAACACTGTCTATAGAATATATTGCTAAATAATTTTATATTTGTAGATATTGTTATTCTTAACAAAGTTGTTAAATGGTTCTTTCTCGTGAATATCTTTTATTTTTATTCTAATTTCATTGTTATATAAACTTTTTGAAATTCACAATAATTTCCTCCTTTTGAAATTATCTGATTCTTGGAATAACTTGAGTATTTTGTTTATTGCTCGCATTCTATCTTGTTCAACATAAATAGTGTTTTGATTATATTATTAACAAAAATATTGCACTATACTCAAATGTCTTCAGACATACTCACAGTATTGCATTTAATATATTATAATATTAATGAGTTAATATTTAAATATTTTTCAAACATCTCTTAATTACTTCAGGTTAATATAACTAAGTTTCTATCTTTTTCAAACAGATTTAATCAACTTTTGATAAGATTAAGTCATATTTATATGTAAAATTTAACCATTTCTCATATATAAAATAAAATTTCTTTATATTTATTAGAATATTTCTTATAGTAAGAATAAACACTTTTTTATATTTAAGAACTAGGATTCAAGTTTATTAATAAATCACTTGAGTCTCATACATCCTTTGATGTGAATGTTACAATTATTAATAGTATCAATTTGTAGAAAAACATAAAATTAGAAAATTAAAAACAACACAAATCTAAAAATATTATAATTTATTTTTAGAAAAAATCAATAATCGAAAAAGTAATTATAATTAACCAAATAATCAATTTTTTTAAATTTGACTTAAATAAAAAGTAGTTAATTAAGTATTATTACATTTATTTTATATTGTTCATTGCTCATTTGAGACTAATCACTCACTTGTGCTTTAAAAATTGTTATTCATCCACTACTCACTTATTCTTTAGTTTTTCATTTAGTTGAAAAGTAAATAATTCAATTTCTTCAATACAATTTATTTCTATTGAAATAAAGGTTTTTTAAATTCCACTAACTTAAATAATTCTTCATTTAAGTTGTTATCTAATTTTTATTTTGAACTTAATGAATATTTAAACTCCTCTTTCTTTGTTTTCTTATTTTATGATGAAAGACTATCCTCTTACTACCATATTATTATGACTAATTTCATTTATTATCAACAACATGAATATCATTTTTCTTTGCCAATACTCATATTATCAAAAATACTTGCATCCTAACAAGTAAATAATATTACTGTCTTTATAAATACTCATTCATTTATTAGAATAGAATGATATTCTATCATTATAAATAATAATTACCGACATCATTGCTATATTGAATAAGATGTTGTTTAGCCAACAGCAACACCATAATCAGACGATAACTGGTGATTCAAAAAATTGGTTTATTTTAAGATTTGGGTGTCTGACTTACCACCTTCAATTCACTTTTTTAAATAAGATATGAAATTAACAAGTTTTATAGCATCATTAAAACAAATAACAATTTTTATTCTTTTCAGTATCATTCATAAAAAAATAAATTAGTTAATACCAAATCATTTGAAAATGGATAAAATACCACAACCAACATCTATTTCTTCAATTCAAAAAGGATATTCCATTGAAGAGGATATTCAAAATGAAGTTCAGGATGATGGAGAAATGACTAAACCAAAAATAAAGAAAGTTACCAAAAAGTTTCATAAAAAATTGAATAAAAATGTGACAGAAACAATTGCTCCTAAACGGTTTGAAATGGAATATGATAAATATGATCCATTAGATATTTCACTATTAAGCTTAAACTAATTTGACGATAAATCAAACAACAATAATTTATTTTATAATTTTGTTTAAATATAATTTATTTTATAATTAAGAATAAGATCGAAGGTGGAACATTTGAAACCACACACAAACATTAATACAGTTCAAGCTTCAGTTTTTCAAGTTATTATCTGATTATGGCAGTGTATTGGAATATGAACTCTATCGGTTAATGACGCATCATTTTATTATTACTATTATTTTATTATATTACTTATTGTAATATAAAAATTTGTATTTATTAATAAAGAAATTAAGAAATATATATTAACCAAGGAAAAGCATTTGCTAAAGTGTAGTTAGTACTAAAAAGAAATAGTCATAATAATATGGTGGTAATGAAATGCTTTCTTCCTCTTTCATGAAATAAAGAAAAAAAGAAGAAAATGAAATTATTTAAAATTAAATTAGAAATCAAACAAAGGATTAATAAGAAGAAATAAGCGAAGATGCTTGAGAAGATTTTAATAGAAATCAATAAAGCAAAGAAGTACTTTTCTCATGTTACTAGAAAAACCTAAAGAATATATTAAACAAAAAGATTATTCTTTAAAAAAAACAATTCAGGGACGTGATTATTCTTCGTTGAGCAAGGAAGAATAGATAAAAAATCTATTAACAC